AAAAAAAAAATATTAATATAAATATTCCTAAATTTAGAACTACTTTTACACAATCAGATAAAATTTTGAAATGATAGCACATATGAAAAAAAAATATAATAATATAACTACAGTGCAATGTGTAATTTAATGTGTCTTGTTAAAATAAATTTTAGATCCGTATCAAATGGAAAGCACTGAAGGTAGCTTATAAAAATGTAATCAAGCACAATAGTTGTAGTGGTGTTGATAGAATCACTTGCCCTTACTATGACAAACTTGATTCCCTTTTAGGTCATAGACCAGGTACAGGTATCCTTGCAGATGGGATAGATTCAGATACATTGAATGGTAATAAAATATTTTACTTTTCATGTATACAATTACCTAAAAAATTATTATTTGTAAAAATGGAATACTCATTAATTTGTTAATAAATATTTATYATATGAATAATTAGTGGATGAAGTTGATGAGGATCAAACAAATACAGAAGAAGTAACTAGCAATTTGTTCAATGTAATTGAAGATACATCTGAAAACAATATTGAACCTGTTAACTGTGAAAAAAATGAGACATTTTGTTTAGATATTGGAAACAGTGACAATTCTGTATGTAGTCAAAAAACTACAAAATTGTTGAATAAAACAAGTAATTTATTTGAAGAGTTAATTTTTTTTAAATTAATTAATTTAACTAATATACATTGTCTTTACTGTCTTCTACTACTAGAGTCCGTCAGATCTGCACCATATGCAAGAGCACTTAAAGGATTTAGCACAGAGTTTATGGAGTCACAAAGGCAGCTACAAAGAGATTTCTTTGAGCAACAAACAAAATTAAATAATGAGTATTTTGAGAAACAAAAGACATGGGAGGAAAAAGTAATGCAGAAAGAAGAAGAAATTGCATTAGCGGACAGAGCATCAAACGAATTTATGATGAACAATATTTTAAAACTTATGGAAAGACAAATTAATCATACTAATTCATATACACCAACGATGCATATTCCAGCTACCTATCCATCTACTTCATACATGCATCTTCCTTCTACTTCATACACAGATCTGCCTTCAAATTCTTTATCTACTCAACAGTTGTTTCCTTCTTCATTTCCAAATGAACAAGACTGAAATTATTTTTTGTTTTTCAAGTATAATTATTATATTATATAATATATTTTAAATATTATTTAAATTTTTTTTCAATAAGTTTAAAGTTGTTGTTATTATAAATGTTAAAGTATTTTATAATAAGTTCAAAGTCAATGAACAAGGCTGAAATTATTTTTTGTTTTTCAAGTATAATTATTATATTATATAATATATTTTAAATATTATTTAAATTTTTTTTTAATAACTTTAAAGTTTTTGTTATTATAAATGTTAAAGTTTTTTATAAGTTCAAAGTCAATGAACAAGATTGAAATAATTTTTTTTGTTCAATTTATTTAAATAAAAAAGAATACACAATACACATCATTAATATCTGTTAGGTATTTATTTGAATAAAAAAAAAAAATAGAAATTATAATGTCCTGACTGAAGAACTTCTTAATGGATAATTTTTTACCATGTACATTTTTAAATGTTCTCTAATCTTCTTCATATCATCAACATTTGAACTTGTGTCTCTACGATTTGTTATGCAGGTTGTGGGTTGAGGGTAAACTACATCTGAGTCTTCAACATTTCTTAACCATGTGGTATTAAAATGATCATGTTGCAATTCAATAATATTGTGTAGTGTAACACAACAAGATACAACAGATGGAACAAAACTATGGTGAATATCAATCCTTTTTTGTAGACATCTCCATCTACCTTTTAACCTTCCAAAAGCATTTTCAACTGCCATACGTGCCGAACTTAAATATGTGTTGAAATTATCTTCTTCAATGCTTACACTACCAGTATATCCTTAAAATAAAATAAATATAATATACAATATATCAATTTTTAGTGTAAGGAAAAGTAGTTAATATACCTTTCATTAACCATGGAAGGAGTGGGTAAGCTGGATCACCGAGCAAAAAATAAGGTACATCTATACCATCAATATTTTTTTTAATTGAAGGTATTTTTTGATGAGAGTGGTTATATAAGTTTGAGCTTTTTAAAACAGCAGCATCATGTACACTTCCAGGAAATTTTCAACATATATCAGTAAATCTAATTATTAAAAAAGAATAGTTATAGATATACCTAGATGAGATGTTACCAGTATTTAATCATAGTTATTGACTATTGTCGAACACAAAATGTCTAGAGGTATATTACATTAGTAGTTAGTAGTTATACCAAAATGTGATCTATTAGTAAATGTTTAATTTGTTTAATTACTTATATTCATGATCTACCACTGCTTGGCAAATGAGTGAGGTCCAACCTTTTCTGTTGATGTAGTCTAATCTACCATTAATTGGAGCTAAAATAGGAATGTGTGTTCCATCTATCATACCAATAACCTTAAATTTAAATAAAAGTTAGAAAATATATTCTTAAACAAATTATCAGGGATATGTCAGTGTTCAATATGAAATTGTCTCTTTAGCTTAATATTTATATCTACCTGTAMCATCCCAGTTTTTTTTCCACAGCATTTGCTATACGTAAAGCTTCTTTTTCATCGGGAAACTTAACATACTTAGATAGAAGTACAGTATTTATACATTTGACAACTTGATAAAAACATTTTTTGACTGTGCTTTTATGCACTCCAAAAGCATTTCCTACCACCCTGTACTCACAACAACTAGCCAATTTGTAAATAGTCATTGCAATTTTCTTATCAATTGCAACAGGCGCTCTTACAGGCAAACAATTTGGTTGAAGATGAATTGTTAGTTCCCTAAATGTATTATAGCCCTATTAATTA